AGATGACTGCAAAAAATTCTAGCTGATATTTTACTATAGGACAAATCAAAGATAAATTTTAACTCAACTATAGTTTTAATTAGAAATAGAAATGCTCGCAGATATTTAGTGAATAAATTAAGAATGATAAAGGAGTGGGATGAGATACGTCAGTTTCTTGAAATGAAAATAAGAGCAGGAGGAGTTAGACCGAGCACATTCTCAGAGTACAATAAAATTCTTACTTGAATTATCAATAGTAATTAAAAAAAAATTATCTTCGTCTTTTTCGCTATTCTCACAGGAAAATTTGTATTTGAATTGTAAATTATAATTCAGTCAAATTTTATCTTTGACTAGGTATGTCAGCTGCTAATGCTTATTTTTTATTTTGATTTATATTCAAACTTGAATCAAGTCACTAGTAAGAATAGAATAGTTCGATAGAAGTCCTGATCTGATGAACTGTTTGAATATTTCCTTTGATCTCAGCTCATAAGTTAGATCTGTCCTAAGTCTATCTGCTACTCAAAATATTATACTATACACGTAATATACATTATGATAAACAACTACTAGCAGTATTATCAGTAGTTCATTTGATGTTCTCATGTAATGTAAATTTGTGCAGTAAAGTCTATTACATTCCTATGATACAGTAGTTAGTTGTAGTGAATTTGAAAGAAAATTAGTAGGCAGTAGAGAGGGAGAGAAAATAATCCAACTGTATTCATTGTCACAATAAAGAAGTACTCACCGACAGAGATATAATGAAAAATGTGAAGTAAATCTGTAAGTCTACATTAAAAGTATCTCAAAATCATTGTTAATGAATAATTACTATTCTCTTGTTTTGTAAACACAAGAAAGGTAAGCAGAATAAGAAAACATAGATGTCTTTCACATGTAAATGACATATACATAATTTAAAAAAAAAAAGTGAAATCATTCATGTGCTTTCATATGGCATCAACAAACTTTTTATTACTTTCTTGTTACTGAAGGTCGCCCTAGTCAAAAAAAAAAAATTAAGCAAGACTCCTTTTTAATGCATGTGACTATAACTAATAGTGCATGTATTAATGAAATGACATTCGTGATATTTTTTGAAACAGTTTTAATTTAGTAAAAAGAAAAAACATATACAGATGTAAATATTGTTTATTTTACATGCACATGTGCATGATATTCCGATGTTGTCATCCTACAATTTGTTTTTCTTTCGTCTGGCTATGTGAACTGTTGCTCATCGAATATAGTAGAGAGTTTTAACATTCTCGTACATGACACCATGTGGTGCGTTTACAATTGTAAAATAAAGCAAATTCTCTTTTTGCTAAAAGCAACTAATACAATGTGAATAAGTCATATTATATTCTTCTTTATTAATAGATCGAAAATTTCAGAAAACGTATTAATATAATAATAAAATAAATTCTCCTAATCTTTAAACATTTCTTCGTTAAAATATTACAAAATTTTCTCATATTGTAGCAATTGATAAATAAATGTTTAGGATCGGGATACGAGAAAAGTTTGTCCCGCTGGATTCTAGAAAAAAGTTAATATTTTAAATTTTATATAGAAGATCTTGTCTAAAATTCGACGAAATCTACGGAAAAAAATCAATCGTTTCCAAGGAAAATGTAAAGAAATATAAAGAGAATTTATCAACATTGAAACAAATAAATAATGAATACGATCAAAATAAAGAAAAATCATAAACAAAATATTTTTTCTAAAGATTCTATTTCAAATAAAAATTTAAAAATAGAATCAATTTTTAAAGATAACCATCACGATATCAAAATAATTTGTGTCAATATAAAAAATAGTAATTATTTAAATAGAAAAACTGATTTATGTTTTATTGCAAATTATTTAAAATTCTTTGATAATATTGATTCCTATTTTGATTAACTCTTATCATTGAAAACTAGTAATAGAAAATAAAAATTATTTTTGATTGTATCTAGCACACGTGATGGAAAAATAATTTCACTTGTTTATGAACAATATAGATTGTTTATATTTATATCTATTATGCAAATAAAGAAAATCATCAAGAATGGAGAGAAAAATATATTCAAATAAAATTAAACGTATTTTTAAAAGATAAACAGGAATTAATATACCAATCAAATGATGAGGGTGGGTGTGGGTGTTGAGAATAGATATACTCACACCCACCCACATCCACACCCATACCCACACCCAACCACATTCACACCCATACCCACACCCACCTACATTCACACCCACACCCACACCCACACCCTAGTTTTTAAACAGATGAAAATTTGAGAAAAAACTCTTTCCATGTACAAACTATTATCAGTTGTTTCGACACAAACGAACTAAATGGAGTAAAAAAGTACACAGTTACTAATTGGAGAGTAAGTAAGGCAAAGAATGATCTTTTATATTCCTCTTGCACAATCGCATGAAAAGCTCAAAAAAAATATGACTCAAAGTTAACATTCGCCGTCTTTCTGAAGAATGGTTGTAAATGAGTCAAAAGACACTGTTTACTGGGAATTTGATCAAAATTTGGAAGAATAAAATAATTGATCTTGATAAATAGCCTTTTACTCTTTATTCGTAAGGATTTAACTATCTCAACTAGTTCATAGGACTTCTCATAATGGGTAAATGTTCGTCGAAAAAATTACATTTATCAATCGATGTGAAAGGAAACAATAATTATGCTTTGCTAATCAATGGTATACAAGTCAATTTGATATCGGTTCTTCAAGACATAATAAACCAAATCAATAGCGAGAATCGCACAATGATAATCGTTTTTTGTGTGAGTTGTATTTTTCTGATGCTACTTTTTGGAATTATTGTTATATTTGTTCTCCTTCCTACGAAACATCGTAGCAAGCAATCTTATATTGTAATGAAGAATATCGAAAATGATATCAGTAATTTAAATATAAAAATTGAAAAATTAGCTTCTCAAACTGAACATTTATCTATGCTGTTATTGCACAAGAAAACCAATTGGCAACCGAAAAATATTTATGTCGATGAATATCCTTTATCATCAGTTTAGATTATCTGATCAGAAACATGAGATAGTCACTTGCGAGTTTTTTTCTGCGTTGATTGTTGACTTCGTCTCCATATGTTATTCTTTCTTTTCTGTTCTTTCTAATTTTCACTTAGAATAAAATTCGACGTAACAAGAGTTTCAGGGGATTTTTTTCTTTCATTCCTTCGTATATTGACTGACGAATAAGAATCAAGCTTAATGACAAAGCAGAATCATATATTTATTCTTCCAATTGGAATATTTTATTGTCATAAGTATGTACTATAAAAGGCATCGTCGTCATCGAAAGAATTCTCACATCACATTGAAATCATCGGTAAGTGGCAAATAACATTATTTGAAGATTTCTCGATAAAAAAATAAGAATGCTACATACGATGTTTGAACAACACCAACGAGAACGACGTCAGCTTATTGAATTGAACATGGGAACCAACAAAAAAGTCGTCAAACCATCTTTTCGAGCGAAAGGAAATAATAATAATTTGTACCTTTGGCCAGATGGAACTGATTCGGATGTGAAGTCAGATGGATTGAAAACAGTTAATACAGTTCTAAAAGATGGTAGTGATCTCCTTGGTGCACCATCTCGATTCTTGAATAATATTCAACAGCATTGGATAATTTCTCTAGTACTCATCTCAATCATTCTTGTTTCGCTTTTGTTATTATATTGTATTATCCGTAAGCATTGCTTTGGTAAACGAAAACTTCCAATAAAAAAAGAAAAAAAGAAAAAATGGACAGTGGATATGGCATCTTCACCATCACTGCTTTGCAAAAATCGAACAGATGAAGAATAGCCCATAGGAATAAACTCGAAGGAGATATGGTCGATAACATTTTTAACAGTTGTCATATCTGTTTCTCTCGAATATTTTTTTTCTCATGTAATATTAATTAAGACATTGTAGTAAATATAATATTTCAATCTACTCAAGAACATTTTTAGACAGGCGAGTAAGAAAAGAACTCTGTGCTCGAGGAGGGTGTGGGTGTGGATGTGTGGGTGTGAGCATGGGTCATTCATGAAAGTACACCCACACCCAGCCACACCCTCAAATTGTTTTTAGTACATTTTGTATACCTTAGTGACAAAAACAGTGTAAACATACAGTTTGCTCAAATAAGCTGTGTGTAGAAAAACATTTTGTTTCAGATTTCTATTAGGAACCATGGTTTTTTAATATCATAGATTAGTAGCGTAACCAGAAAATAACGGATGGTTCGACGTCGCCTTAACAATTTCAAAGAGATTATTTAAGGTGATGGTGAGAATGAAAGCGGTAGTTATTTTGAAGAAGAATTGATAGCTGAAGGAAAAGAAGGGCTTTCCATAGCTGCTACTTCCGCTGATGATGAAAATAGTGATTAAAGTTCAAGAAGTATGCTTGTTGAACATCAAGCTGTTCCATCTGATTTTTGTTTTTGATGATGCACTAGCCGAAGAAGAAGTTGAAGAATATCACTATATGAGACTGAACGAGTGATCTCCTTTGTCATACCATGCTCTGCAAGAGAAATTGTTCTGTCCTAATAACTTTTGCACAAACTACTCAATTCAAAAATGTTTTTCCAGTTAAAATACTTGATTTTATGCATAATTAAAATTGATATTGAAACGAAGTTACTATGCTCATCTGTCATTCAGTGTATATCTTAATTTTCTTTTTAAATGATTAAAATTATATATTATACTGGAAGCAACAAGGACTTTGGAGTTTTTAATAGGCTAACAATTTTCTTAGTAGATATAGAATGAACCTATAAGGCCCGTTCTGAATAGAAATCAAGACAAACAAAACGTGCGAATCATTAGCAGAGTGGAATGCGGCAAGATAGAACCGAATAATAGGACAAGATAGGAAAGTGCCATGTATCCTTCCCCAGTAGCAATGTTAACTTTCCTGTGTTTTTGGAAAAGCATGAATAAAAACGGATTCAATAGTGCATTTGGATGATCTCATGTTGGATTATCCGTATTTGATGATACATTAGAATTATCAAAAATTTCATGTTCATTTTCATGTTCAAGAGCATTTTTTGACACATTATCTAGATTTGATAAATTTGATGTTTCAATAGGAGAAGAAATTTTTGTTGTACAAGTTATTTCAGTATTTTCATCATGTGAACTTGTTGGTAGATCAGTGATATCTACTGAAGGAATTTCTTCTGTTGAACGAGATGATGCTGGAGCTTTTGATTTTTTTGAAAAAAAATCAAGAATTGAACCAGTGAGTCGTTGCGATGCTATAACTGATGATTATCTACAATATTGATATTATAAAAGAGAAATGTTCGAATGTAGTTCGTTTTCTTGCCTTTTGAGCGCATCATTCTATGAATGGCCTAGTCTACATACTACTTAGTGTAAACAATATAAAAGATGCCAGTAAGGACTATGACGATATAATAGATAGCTTTTATTCCCATCTCATTTCTTGATTTTTTTTATCACAACGTGAAGATAATCACATAAAAAGATTATAATATCAACACTAAAATAAAAATTCCTTGATCGGATAGTGTCAAATTCTACAGTGAACAAGTTTCAGAACCTGAATTCAGGTAAGGCTGAGCCTAATGAACCTACAGATCCCGCCGCCTATATTGCGAGTATAATATTAATCACCTACATCTTCGTACGAACACTGGAAGAATATGTTTTATGTCAGAAAGTAATTTTCAAGTTAGCGACGATTGTGTACATGTAAAATAAGAAAAAATACAGCAGCACTTATGCAGTCACCCATACTGTGTATTCTTAAATGATAGTCAGAAAACTTCTTCTATCAGGTTTCACTGATGATACAGTCCGCAATAAATCTGAAGTGTTGAGAGTGTGAATGTGGAAATTATTTTCATTTATTATTCACATCCGTTATCAAATTTAAAAAATGATGTATGACGAAAACAAATGAAATACTAATTTATTGTTAAAAAAACTCGATACATTATGAAAAAAATTCTCATAGAAATGACATAAAAAAAGTTTTATTTCAGAACACTTTTATTATTAATATAAAATGTTTTAATTGTTGTAACATCCGATGAATTGGCCCCCAAAAAGAAATCTTTTAATAACTTTTTATTTTGTTTGTCGGCATTTTCATTGTTCCACTCTTTGTTAGTCCAAATCTTGATTGATTCTAAATTTAATTTTATAACTGCATTCGTTTTGATAGTTGGCTGAGGCATCTAACATAGAAAAGAAATAGAAATTATCGTTAGGAATGAACTTTTCTTGAGTGTTAACAACAGTAAGTCGTAATGCGACCACAGATACTCATAATCACCTATATATATAATATTCAGTGTGTGTGTCTGTTTCTTTGTGCCGAGTCGAAGGTTAGATAAGGCTATAAGGGAAGGGTCTAAGGACTATTATATATGAAGGTACCCGTAGATCCTCCAAGGTTATTATATGGAGGTACCAATAGGCCCTCAAGAGTTATCCTGTGGAAGTACTCATAGGTCCTCAAGAGCTGTTATATGAGGGTATCCATAGTCTGTTAAGGACTATTATATAAAAGTACTGATAGGTCGTCAAGGGCCATTATATAGAGGGGTCCACAAGGGTCATAAGGCTATAAGGGTGTAAGAGTACGAGGGTGTAAGGCTATAAGATCTCTATATATATATAATGCGAACTGGCTGATTGTCTATTACTCAATCAAGACTAAAGGACAAATGTGAAACTTTATAGGAAAAAAGCATCCGTGTAGTATGCACGGGCTCTCGCCGGTACAGATTAAACTCTTTACTTTGGAGTGGATGAATGACAGAAAAATACAATATCTACAGTAATTGACCTTTAAAATCTTCAAGCTGTCAACTACAAAATTTATATATTCAATAACGTTTTTATGCATACCAGGTAAAGTTGATGGTGTCTATTTTGACCAAAATGAATTGAATTAATAATCAAATTCTTTAATTTTGGTAGACTAGGTAATAATTCTTCAGTCAATGTATAAAATGATAATTTTGTTTTTGTACATGCATCATATTCATCAGGAATATCTATTGAAAAAAGCTGGATAAATAAAAAGAAGACGATACAATTTGAATAAGTTACCTCCAATAATAAGTGTTTCCAAATTACTCAATGATTTTTCATGTGTTGATAAGTACTGGAATTGTAAATCAACATCATTGTCACGTGATTGAATGCCAAATTCACATCCACATGAATATGGTTTTACATTTAAATTCAAATATTTTAATGATTTCATTTTTGATGATATCAATTGTCTACATAATCCTACAAAGACAAACTAATATTTCTTATCTTCTTTGAAGTTCAGAGGAATAAATAAAAATTCTATTAACTAACTGAAAAATCACATTTAGATTTAAAATATATTGAAATAATTCCTTACGTTCTACATCATGACCGTGTTCTTCTGATTCGCTAATTTCTTGTAAAGTTAATCGTTGTAATGTTTTATACAATTTAGTTCTTCGATCAAATATTGCATTAAATATAGGTTCAGCATGGATGTCAGATAATATTAGAGATTTTAATTTCGAAAATTTATCTTGAAATAAATTATCTTTCATTATTAAAGTAAACCTCTGTTCATTATAAGTACTAATTGATAATGGATAATTTTTAGTTATTCTTAAAAAATTATTTAATTTAAAACAAAATGTTAAAATATTTTCATCTGGAATTGAATCTAGATCAATAGAATTTTTTGTTTGTTGTAAAATCAATTTATTGAAACGTTGATTTAAACAAGAGAATGTTTCATATAACCAATAGAAACTAAGATAACTAAAACAAATTAATATCATTTCATTTGGTAATTGTTCGAATTTTGTAATCATAACTGAATTCAAACTAAAATTGATATGAAAAACGTCAAATGGACAATAATCATTTGTATCACTTACTTTTGATTATTAATTTCATCCATTTTCTGACGTTTTCTTTCCGACATTGAAATTTTGTCTTTTTGTTTTCACTACAGGTAGTCATAATGATAATAACTGCACGGTGTTTTATATATACACCTATGTTATTACTCAATAGTGTGAAAGAACTTGTTTCGTTATATGATAACTATTCATCTGATTATTGTGAGTATTTTATCTATCTGACATCTGACACTTATAAAATAAAAACATTTATCATAACACAAAAAGAACGAATTCGATCAATAAGGATGTATGTTACAGAAAATATCGTCAAGGTAAATTTTTCATAAACTGATAACAATGTGTAAATATGTGTACGAAAACTTATGGAGATTTTCCAAATATTTCATGATGATGAGCTGAAGTCTTTCATCGCACAATTGAATTCAAATCATTCGTAACATATGAAGAAGAAATACACTCACACCCTCACCTTGTCATACACGAACTTCAGTTAACGTTTTTATCAATTGCGTTGTATGACCTCGGGTAAATCCAATATCGTTCATATGTTTCATTTAATTTTTTGCATGGATAAATCTCAAATCTCACTAGCATATTATTCGACACCTCTGATTCGTTCTATGATAATATAAAATAGAAAATCAAATGTTAAATCGAGGAGATTAGTAAAAACAACCATCCTGTATGTCGTGACGGGCAACGAGGTTCGTGAGTTCATTGACTAATGAAACAATACACAAACATGAGTATTTTTCAGCTACAGAGAGAAAGACAACAGAGCGTTGATCAAGGGAAAACATCGCACTTTTGTACTTCAAAGTACCTCGAAGTACATTAAAGTACAAAGTACGATGGTTCTCCTTTAAATTTTCATCCATATAGCGTCTGACCAGAAGGAAAAATTCAATAAAAGAACACTCTTCCAAAAAAGTGGATGGATACTCATGGATTTATTCTTATAGGTATTAGTGAATGTTAGTGCTTGAGGAAAACAGCGAACTTTTGCACTTGAAGTTACATCTCGCTATTTTGAAGTACTTTTAGTAAGTTTGAAACACTTTAAACAACTTTAAAGTACTCATATTTGTTCTATTTTGGAAATGCGTTCCTGTAGATGGAATAAAAGTGGCCTATCTTCGGGAACGCAATATTGTTCAGTTCAAGTGACCAAAACTGGCTGACTAGCTCCACTTATTCAAGTTAAGCTAAGTAGTCACACATTTTATTAGTGTTTTTTCGATTTTTGACGGTAAATAAAGCAATCGCGTATATTTTTCTCCACAGAATTTAATTTTGTTCCATATATCTTCAATCCTTTGAGAACACTTTAGAAGACTTTCCGTGGTTTGAGGTGCTTTCAAGTACTTTGAACCATTTTTCTACTTTAATGTATTTTTTTTACTTGGAGTCCACTACTTCCCCTTTGACTCAATCGCAAAGTTAACAGAAAAGAACGTACCTTGATGAAGTATACATCTGCAATACAACAATAATATGTAGAGAGAAGGGTGTGGGTGTGGGTATAGATCTTGTCTTCATCCACACCCACCCACCCACACCCACGCCCATCCACCCACTCCCACACTCCACACCTACGCCCACACCCACACCCTTCTCGAGAAAACTATTGGATTTTCGATAGCAAGAAAAGGTATTCCAGAAGCGCTTTCAATGTTTGGAAACCTTCTCAGAAACGGAAAAGGGTTTCAAATCCCTTCCAGTTTTCTACGATACGGAAATTTTTTAGAGTACACTCACACCCTCAATTAATTTATCTCCAATTTCCTAGATATTCTTTGATATGGAACAGATTAAATACTTTGTTTGTGAATTCCGAATCATCGGAACAAGTATGCTTATCAAAGCCGTTTGAAGAGTCCTATAGCAAGAACGAAATCATGATCATGGTAGCTTGACACACCCACAGCCACACCCTTTTAGAATGATTTATGAAGCTTTTATGTAAGATTTATTAAGCTAATAAAGATATTCCAAATTAGTTAGTGTATACATGTAAGAGTTCGAGCATATTAAGTATTCAGAATGAGTGATTATATAATATATCATTTGAAAAGATATTTTAGAGAAAGTAAATGATATCCGATCAATACCATTATTGAATGCCACAGTCGCCAACCATCATGTTAACCATATTTGTAGTTTGTAGGCGCGTACCAAAATTTTGAATTATACGGCTATTCTCGCAGACTTCGAATAATTCCTTTTGGGATATTTTCGTTTTGTCACCAAAAGCATTGCTTACATCATTCTTAATTTCTTCCAAACTATAGGCCGGTTTCTCCTGAGTACCATCATCATTCTTGCGAACGATTAAGGAAAAGAATGTGTTCAATACATCGACGACTTCAGCTTGGCCAAGTAGGCCATTTTTATCAGAATCAAATATTTTGAAGAGATAACTCATTATCAAGTTGGGATCTTGCCTGCTCACTAGCATGAATCCCAACAGATCCACCGTGTCTAAATATTCAAATAAAAATAATAACTAGGATCAATGTAATTTTGTTTCACAATGCACACTAAATTTAAATGTGTCGTGTTTATGTGTCGTGCACTCCAGCACAAAAATGTGTCGTGCTTAGGATGTGTCGTCTACGAATTTGTCGCGTTCTGTCTGCTGACTATTCGTTCACCGTTTTGTTATGCACACATAGCAATATATAAACAAAGCGGTTGAACGTATGAAAGATAAATTTTCAAAATATTCTTTTTTTCTAGATTCCTTCTCGATCATATTTTAATCGAGAAAATGCCAATCTCGATCCATGATAGAGAGAGAACTACCCTGAAGTGGTCTGATTCAAATCGGACCAACTCGAGATCGGATAGATCCCAGGATCTGACCTGCTTGAGTTTTCAGAATAGGAATAATTAAATGGAATTAAATTGAAAAAAAATCGAAATATGCTTTTTCAAAAGAACCAATGAAAAATGTGTCACATGTGTCGTACAAAATGTGTCGCAGTGAGCTCCTCGTGTCGTACTTTAATGTGTCGTACAATAGTGTTATAAGACATGCCGTGTCATTTTTAAAGGAAGCTCATTTCCATTTGTGATTGTATCTTTCGATGAAGTGCCGATCGAATTATTGCTTGAATCCTTTCTGATGATCATGCGATTTTATAATCATTACTGATCTTAAAGGTAATATGTCAACACTTGTAGACAGTTATTAAGGACATATTCATAATTGATAGCTAGGATATAACTGATCATTGGCAGTTATTTAGCGAACAGCAAACATCAGTGAATTTCAATTTTTAAACCAGACTCTTTCAATCTATGGGAAATATCTTTCTAATCCAACATATGAGAGGGTGTGGAGATGGGTGTGTGGGTCAATGTGGAATGAGTAAAATGAATATTCTCATTTATTTCATAGACACATGAAAATCAGAGAGTCCAATTTCATTTAAATTTTTAAAAATTGAATCGTTTTCACCTCTGACTCATACCACAGTTAATAAAATTTAAAAAAAAAATAAAAACATGATTTTGTGCATTGTTTTATATAATATACACTAATAAAATTCAATGTACAGACACATTTTAACAAAGAACTAAAAGAATTGATTGACTGCTTTGACAGTCATGTCTCATGCTATGACATTATACTTTTAAAGAATAAGTTTTCTTAGCTTCAGCTGAAGCATCATTGAAATGTTTATAAACATATCATCTTACAAATTGAACGTAACAAATCTGTTTAATTTATCCATCAGACAGGTCTATGATTAAAAAAACCTAAAAAGAAATTCAATATCATAATAACGTGAGATTAACACTTGTTACAGACCCGGATGGAAATTCAAAAGCGGATCACAAAGAATTGACTTTAATTCTTTCAAAATTAGAATACAGTGCTATCCTAAAAGAATTTCTTCACCGTTCGAAGACTATACAGACTTTCGACGCCATAAAATGACGACAAAAAAAAAATAGTTACCACAAAGACATAGATGAATTTTGAACAGATTCCGACATGTGTAGTACATATCCTGTCGCTCTGAATGAAGTTGAGCCTTTAAAGAAGTAGCTAACATTATAGAAAGATCCTCCAGGGAAAATTTTTATTGATTGTAGGATGCTGAACCCTTTCTACTACTTTCTTCTCACAACACGAATACTACTAATCTAAATCAATATAAGGATATGAGAAAGAACATAACATACCTGATTTGTTCTGATCGATCAAACTGAATAACTGTTTTGCTGGACTGAAATTCGTCTCTTTGCCGAACATTTCTGATTCACGAAACTTTGCAATGAACTCTTCCTCTGTCAAATAACCTTTTGGAAAATTCTTCCAGAGCTCCTCTAAAAGAAAAAGAATTTAATTAGTATATTAACTTTTTGTTGATTTATAACAAATATGGACTAAGTAGAACAACCTAGCATTATTAGCATACATATACGTGGCATAAAAATAGAATAGTTTTATGAAACTCACGATCAATAACAAATCTGAAAAAAGTAGATTGCAGCATCGCAAAAAGATTAATGAATAAAAGCTTTTTATCCAGAAATTGAATTTTATCAAATAACACCAAACTCTATTCGTTAGATAGAGAACTTCACTACGATAATGCAAAAAGAAAACAGATAATTGTAGGAGATTTTGTTAAATTGATTAATTCGTTAGCATAGATAATATAAGAACCAATCATTTGGAAACCTCTCATTTCCGCAAAACATGCAGAAAAATGCATGAAAGCGATGTCGAATTTAGATTTTGACATTCACATTAGATAAACCTCTTTGAAGTGGACCATTGTTTTTCATAGTGCGCAACATATTTTTCCAAGATGATGAATTTTAGAATAATTTTGCCTTATAT